GGGAACTGCAGCTGAACCAATGGGTTTTTTCTGACCTTTTTGTTAATATTACGACTAAAAGACACAGAGGAGTATTGAGATGGAGTAACGTTATCATCTCTAGTAGTACTGTAGTAGCCATACTGATTAATTCAATGTGGGAGCACTTGTTTTCATTTGTAAAGCTCCATCTGTGCAGTGTGTGAGGATATTAATGAATGGACGCTTTGTCGTGTGTAGAGAGAGAAAAGTGACGGGGGGTGGGGACCCAGAAATAGAAACGTGACAGTACTGTGTCTGAGAGACACAATGACTGTTCCTCCACGCACAGAACAGTTTTTTTATCATCCAGCTGTCCAGACGCAGCACAGTAACCACCCACCATCAGTTGCACTTTCCGCCTTGGCTTCCTTTTGTTTTGCTCCTTTCCTTTCATCTCTGTTTTGTCATCTTCCTCCCCTGCTCCTTATTCGTATGCCAATCCCATCATTTCTCTGTACCCCCATTCATCTTCCCCTGATTGTGTATATTACTCTTCTCTCACCCATCACTGTTTTATTTCTCTGTCTTGCGAGCAGCTAAATAGATGGCGGTTCATTACACCAGCTCTCAGCTGGCTGGTAATAGTGACTGACATTACACTCCTGTGAAATGTAGACAATAAACGCACACACATACGCACGTAAAATGAGATCTTGATTACAGGTGGCTTCATGAATGCATTGTGCTCATCAGAAAGATTTTAATGTCACATCACATAGTCACTGTAACAGACAACACAATATTAGCACTTTCCCAAAGCAAAAAGGACAATACAAAATAGATCAAGTTCCAATAAACATTTATCAGTTTCTACACTGGATTCAATCTCAAGAAGAGAAAAGGTGTCTATTTAATGGGCGAGTCCAGAATCTCCTCATACTCTTCTCTCTGTCGCCGCCCACCTCCTCGAGAGGGCAGCAGCTTCATCGCCACCAGCCAACCGACGCTCAGTGTGACCATCACATTTCCGACAATCTCAGGGGCAGTGGGAGCCAACAGGATGGCCAGATGCAACAGCATGGCAACAGGTACCTCCAGGCTCTGAGAGGCAGAGACCAGAGCTGGGTGGAGTCGTGTGAGGGCATGTGTCATACCCAGGAAGGCTGCTACAGAGCAAGCAACTAGGCCCAGGACCAGGACCCAAGCTTGGGCACTTGCAGGCCAGGACCAGCCCTCCTGGAGCAGGGCCAAGGAGGCTGGGGTGAGCAGGCAGCCCGTCCAGCTTACTGTAAACAAAGCTGTGCTGACTCCCACCCTCTCCTTCAGGGAACGATACCCAACAAGCGCCAGAGCCATCCACAGTCCTGCGAGCACTGAAAGAGACCACCCAAATGCACCCCTCCAGAACACAACCGGGTCAGCTGGTGAATCTGCATTGCTCTCTTCTGTGGTGGGAATTAACACGAGCCCTAAACCACAGAGCCCTGCAGCGATAGTGATCCCATCTGCCAATCCCAACCTCTCTTCCAGTAGCAGGAAGGCCAGGGTTGCTGACAGTGCTGTGGTTGCCAAGCGCCAGGTCGTTGTGGCATTTCCAGGAGAGATGAAGGTTAAGGATGAGTAGGCACAGCAGAGGGAAAGGGAGTAGGCGATGCCATAACAGAACAGACACAGACGATAGCCCTCTGGTCCAAAAGGGTTCTCCCCCCTATGCAGTGGTACAGCCACAGAGAGGAGCTGGATGATGGATCGGGTCAAGAGTAGAAACAAAGGGCCGAGGCTGAAGCGTTCAGAGGCCAGGCGGGTCAGAACAATCAAACCACCGTGAGCCAGCGCCGCACCAAGCAACCCCACCCAAGTGAGCCGAGATGCAGACACAGACGCCTCCCCGAAACTGGCCAGCTGTTCCCCTACCCCTTTCCCAGAACCCTTCCCTGCCTTGGCTCCCCCCTCGCTCCCATCTCCTCCCCCGGCACCCTGAGGTTTGCTACTTGTGTCCTTGTCTTTGTCTCTGGAGCCAAACAGAGTCAGGGGCCATCTTTTGGTCTCCATCAACTGTTTCCTGTCTGACGTCTCCTCCAGAAACGAACCAAAGTCCTCAAAAGACGGAGCATCATCATAGCCGTCATCCCCGGGTTGAGGGAAGTGTGTGTGCACTCCAGGTTGAGGGGAGTAGGGGGTGTGTGTGGCGTACTTGGCAGTGACAGTGTGAGGGTGGATCTTTACTCTCTTCTTGGAGTTGCTGAGAAGGTGAGTGGACTCCATTTTGAAACCTCAGAAAAGACAGACACCTGTGAGAATAAAGAAAACACTTTTAGAGCCACATGCAATACTGTATAGTCTTTACGCATACACTCTGGAAAAATCCTCCCTCTTCTCACCCATTCATGCTGTGTGTCTCTGGGATGCTGCTTGGTATCTCATATATCTTTAATATCCGAGATAATAATAGCAGTGACTCACATCTTCCCACACACCCCATGTTTTTCGGCAGTAAATATACATAAGCTCTGCCATCTGCACAATCACCAGACAGTTTAATTGTTTTTGCTGTGTGATGAGAATTCACATTTAATCCATATTAGCAGAATCATCCAGAACCATAGTGGCAGATAAGCGGTGCTATCATTGCACCGATTCTCCTTGGACCTTCATGTGGGGTTATAGATCGTTGGCAATGACAGTTACATAAGCAGGTTTTTACTGCCTTATTTTACGTTCCTCGCTCTGTGTC